AAATGAGACCGAAGCAGCGGAAGGGGACGTCACTCACTAGGAGGGAGGGGATCCAGGGTCCCAGAGCTCACACGCTGGCTCCAGGCCACGCTTCCTCAGCAAACCCCAGTGGCTGTTGTTACTGGTGTTGTGACCAGGGTCACTGCTGTAATAGGTTCTCTTTCCTGGGAGCTGCCTTGGAAACCAGCAATAGAGGACAAACCACAGCAGGTTATCTGCAGGATAGCTGGAGGGGAGCGAGTGAGTTCGGCAACAATTTTCTACTGTTGTCCTAGGTGAGGGGAGCTTCAACTCCAAGACTAAACCAAGTACTGTGAGTCAGTCTCAGCCCTAGGCAAGCTACCTTCCCTCATTGCCGCCAAGAAGGGCCTGTCGAGGGGATGCTTCATGTCTGGAATTATGAGCTAAAAAGAACAAAGAAATCACCACAGGAAACTAGAAGAAAGAACCCCAACCAAATGGAGTGGGGAGAGGTCCCAGGTGGCCGGGCCGGGCCTCGGGCACTAACTTGTAGCAGAAGTCAGCGTTGTGCTTATAAAACCGGCAGAGGTTCCCGTCATCAGGGGGCGTGGCACAGAAGAAGATGGATGGTGACAGATTGTACCGGCCAATCTTGCAGAATTCATCCATTTCTCGCAGAGCGCCAGGCTCGATGGCAACACGATCCCCTGAAGAGGAAAACGTGAGCAGGGGCAGAGCTTCTGTGAAGGGACACGAGCTCCTGGGCAGGTGCCAACAGGGGACTCTGGCCCAATGAGCCACCCCCCTACCTGGGATCCAGGGCGCCCCAGACAAGCCCAACCCGTTAGAGCTGCCACAGAAAACTCGGGATGCAGCACAGACTCACACTCTGAGAGAGTGACCAGCATACTTCTCAACAGACTGGTTTGGCCTGCCGTTCACCCACTCGTGGAACAAGCCAACCCCCTCTCCCCTCAGCTCCACAACCACTTCCCAGCTTGGGAAACAGAGAACCAGCCCCAAATCCAAGGCAAGCCAGGGCCCATCTCAAGCTGCTGTGTGGGGTTCGCAGACTTTTTTTCCTTCACCTGCTTTGAAAATATGGGGCAAGGCCTTTACAAACACAAGAGCCACAATTATGGCATGTCTTATGTTCAGTCTGGTTGTATTTAGACAGTAACTAGGAATTGACGGATCCATGGGTTAACAGACTGGCTCGGGCAAATGACCCACAGAGGCCTGAGATTCCAGTGAAGAATAACATTCAGGCTTGTGAACTAGCGTCCTTCCCCTCTGTCTCACTGCGCCTGCTTGGAAACCCAGCCTTAGAAGTGCTCTTCTATCTTTCCATTATGAAAATTTTCCAACATGCATCAAAGTTGAAAGAACTGTACAGAAAATACCCAGACTTCCTCCGCTTTGATTCTTCAATTACTATGGGGCTAATTCGCTTCATCACATATTTACCCCTCCATCCCACCTATCCGTTTCTCCTCTGTCCATCGCCCCATCTTCTTTCCTGATGCATTTCCAAGTAGGATGTAGCCATTAGTATACGCCACGCTTAAATACCTCAGCCTGCATATCGTTAACCAGAGTTCAATACTTGTCTCTGGTTCTTTTTTAAGGTAAAATTTAGGTATTGATAAAATGCACAATCTTACATGGATCACTAGATGAATTTTTTTTTTAAAGATTTTATTTATTTCGGGGCGCCTGGGTGGCTCAGTTGGTTAAGCAGCTGCCTTCAGCTCAGGTCATGATCCCAGGGTCCTGGGATCGAGCCCCGCACCGGGTTCCCTGCTCGGCGGGGAGCCTGCTTCTCCCTCTCCCTCTGCCTGCCTCTCTGCCTACTTGTTCTCTCTCTCTATCTCTCTGTCAAATAAATAAATTTTGGAATTGGTCACCCTATTTTATTTTTTTTAAAAGATTTTATTTATTTGACAGAGAGAGAGACAGCGAGAGAGGGAACACAAGCAGGG